GGGAGGGGGGGGAGAGGGAGAGAGGGAGGGAGAGGGAGAGAGTGCACGAGCGAGAGTGCTTGCTTGATGGCTAGGGAGGAGAAGGTATGAGAAAGTAACACCAGCAGGTGATGAAGGAAGCCCTACAGCTTGCCATGCAGACAAAGGAGTGCTGGGAAGCCCATGTAGACCTGAGACCAGAGCAGAACACAAACTCTTATGTGCCACAGGGAGCCATCCAGTTCCTGCCCTTTAGCACTGAAGCCTGGTGTACCCAGAGGTTTGTTAAAGAAAGGATGACTTTGTCCTTCAACAGCCCAAGCCATGACACCTGGGAGTCAGTTTGGAATTCCCACAACTGGTCAGTCCGTTCTGTCAATGCCAACTTCAGAATGCACTCAGAACCCAGGCTTTCCCTTGACCGTACCAATGCCTTACTCCAAAATAACCTGCACTGCTGACCAGCCTCCTGTCTTACCATTCATCCTCCACACTGGCACACCTTTGGCCCCCTCACCAAATGTGTACAGTATCACTGTATTTCTGACGGCTGTCATAGGCTCAGAATAAACCCAACATCATTACTGCACCTCCAAAACCCTACACAAACCCCTCCCATCCTAACCGTCCCTGCTCAGCCTAACTCACAGGCTTTGGTGCTGTCCGGAGTAGCCTCATCACTCAGGCACAGGGCTTGCCATCTGAGACCTGACCACTTTCCTTCCTACCCTCTACTTCTGGGCCTCCCCTATTCATCTTTTGCTCAAACTTTTGTGTATTCCTCACTGTGCACAGCCCTCCGGTAGAGTGGTGGGCATGCCCTGTGGCTGCCCGGCTTGCTTCTTGCTCCTCAGTGCCTGGGAGGATGCCTGGTACTCCACCTGCAAGATTCTCGGCCCTTGGCTTCCACTCTGCTGACTTCCATACAGTCCAGGGCACTCACCAGAGGTGCTGACCATGATATGGTCACTGGTTGCCAATACTCCAGGGGAAGAACATCTTGGTCAGAACACTCTACAGTTGCCTCAGGTAGCAAGTCCTTAGCTTGTCCAGAATAGTAGGGCCAGCCGGCTGGTAGGCCAGGCAAAAAGAACGCTGAATGTGGGTATACAGCCTACCGGAGCCCACAGGGGCTTGACCTCAGCAAGTCTCCCTTAACCTGGGCGACTGCTAGAGATTCTGGAGCCACATTCTAGCAAACCCAGGTGAATGCAGCCAGGACTCTTGTATCTACTGTGCAAAAATGTAAGATCTGCTGGTCGTGGTGGCACACACCTGTAATCCCAGCACTTGGGCAGGCGGCTTCACAGGAGGATCACTGCAAGTTCAAGGCCAGCCTGGGCTACATAGTGTGTTCAGGCTATCCACGATTATATAGCAAAACTCCATCTCACTGAGGATTTAGCTCAGTGGTTCCACCACCTGCCCCGCAAGCGCAAGGACCCGAGTTTGATCCCTGGTACAAAAAACCTATCTCAAAAAAAAAAAAAAGAGCCAGGATGTAGCTCCGTGGTGGCACACTTGCCTGGCAAGCACAAGGTCCTGAGTTTGATTCCTGGTACTAAGGTGGGGGTGGGTAAGATCCTAAGACACATGTCTTGAACTTAAAAGCTCTAGGCTTAGTCTTCAGGTTACAGCACCTGAAGACTAAGACTCTTGAAATGATGCTTCTGAGACTCCTGAAATGACCTTTCCCACCAGTCCACTAAGACTCTCACCTGGTCTTGAGTTCAGAAGAGATATTGTCGAAGAAGGACTTGGATTTGTCATAGTAGCAGTTGGGCCCCAGAAGGTCTTCCTCAGCAGGAGTTTCATCACTCGGAGTGACCACAGCCTGGTCCTTCTCTTCCCCCTTCTCAGCCTTGTCCTCTACAAAGTAAAAGAAAGCACATCAAGGTACAAGAGAAGCAAACAAACACCACATACCTCACTCCCTCCAGGATGTCCCTCTCCAGGGGTCTGTTCAGCAGCCACAGTTAAGCCCAGACAGTGCCCAAGCGTCTCTTCCTAAGCAGAGACCTCTTCTCATTGGTGGTCATAACAAATGTTTCTGCAAATGCCTCATCTACCTCTCTAATTCCACAGTCCAGACTGGGAAGCACCCCACTGGCTTCCCACAACACCCTAGTCATCTTAGTACACGCTAGGAATACTCCTAGGGTGTAACAACTTTCACATGAAACAGACCTTTAAAATTTAGTTTCTTCTTGAATTCTTTGTCCAGTTCTTCTCGGTTGAACTGGGCATTTGCACTCTCAAAATCAAAGTCTCCCTCAAACTTGATTGTGTTTTCCTTGACATTAGTAGGACGGTTTTGCCCTCTGGAGCGATTCCTTGTTCGCCGATTCCCTGTGAGGAGAGGACAGCCAGAGCTAAAGGAAGCCACTGAGCCAATGTTTCAAAAGCAGCTTACAGGCACCCAGCAGACAACACGGGGCACAGCTCACAGATGCAGCACCCCAGGCCCAGCACCCTTGAGGGAAGCAAAGCACAGCCTGCTGCTCGCAGCTCCCAGAACTCAAGTGGCAACAGGTGTTACCTGACCGCCTCCTCTGAGGTCTTCTGTTCTCATCATTCACCTGCCCTTGAGTGTGCACAGCTGCTGGCTGGACTATATCTAAGGCGCAAAGGGAAGAGTAAGGCAAAGCTCCCACAGAAGCCAGAACCCAGCCACCAAAGCAGGCACCAGCAGTGGCAGTGGCAGTGGCGGTGGCGGCGGCGGCGGCGGCACCACCACCACCACCACCACCACTAGAGGCCTCGGGGAGGGAGGCTGCCACTTGGATCTGCCCTGCAAAAGCACGTGGCGGGGGGGTGATGTTTAAAAAAATAACCCAGTAAGTAGTGCGCTACTTTTAGAACACAGAGCAAACTGCAAGGGAGAAAGTGTTCAAGTACCACCAGTGGTCTTGCTGCTTGGGTGGGCCTGGCGACCGCTGAGCTGCATCCCTGAGGTGCCCTTGCCAGGTAACAGCTTTTTGGCATTCAGGTTATCAACAGAACCAGTCTGGACAGCCTGTTCCACCATGGGGCTCTTGCCAACTGGGGCAGATGGAAAACCAGCTCCTGAATTGAGGCGAGAAAGGTTTAGAAGCACAGAAAAGAAAGACTTACACCCTAGTCACTTCTCTTCTGCTAGCACATCAGGCAGGAGAGCACACAACTGCCCAGCGAGGTCTGAATCCCAGCCACGTCCCCCTGCTGGGCCACCCCTCTGATGCCAGCCCTGGGAACAGGTGAAGGCCAAGTCACAGGGCAGCACAAAGGCCAGCTCATCACTGAGTGCTCCGGGCCCTAAGCTGAGTCAGGGAATACAGAACAGTGAAAAAATTGTGCGCACAAACAGCCATCTCCTCAGAGACTCCTGACCTGCTCTACCCCAAAGGGGCTCTACAACCACAAGATGTGATGAATTCAGGATCTGATCCATGCTGAAGAAGATCTGTAATGTGCAGTGGTCAGACTTTGAAGCTAAATCCTACAACAGTCATTTTTGCTTACAGCATAGACAGGATAAAGTAGTAGGAGGTGACTATGGTAAAGGAAACAGCCCACAGCCTCTCAAGAGCAAAGCCTCTTCATAAAGCAAGGGCTCCCAGATGGCCTTGATGAGGAGGGGCTGTGCACACAGTATGAAGACACATCCCCAAACCAAGCTGTGGCAGCTCCAGCACAGGGGTGGTCCTGAGCCTTGCCTGGCAGAGCCCAGGGTCTGTGTGAGTGTGAAAGCAGGCACTTGGGAGTGGGGTGGAGGTGGATGGAGATTTGAGACAGAAAAATGGGTCCTAATCACAGGGTAGCTATTACCAAAGCAGCAGCCCGATATGGATGTAGAATGGGTGTAGTCTGCTTTTGTACCCTGGACAGAAACTAGAGAAATCACTGCAGGAAAGTGCCTTGTGACCAGACCAAGGGAAGAACTCACAGGGCAGGTATCTGAAGAGGCTTCTCTAATGGAACTAACCCAGACCAGTTTCTCTAGCCTATCATCTCACTCAGCATGACCATCCCTAAGGGATGAACAATTTCATTTGCTTCTCATTAAACCACACCAGTTCAAACAATCTTGCCCTATGGGCAGTTTTATGTAAATGGTCCTAAGAATAATGAAGGTATCTAGAGTCATTTTTAAGTAGAAAAAAAATATGACTGCTCCAAATCAGACTGAAGTTGGCACAAGACTTAGAAAGCAACACCCGGGCTGGGGACGTAGCTCAGTGGTACCTCACCTGCCTGGTGCCTGAGTTCAATCCCTGGTACCAGGGGAAAAAATAAAAAGTAACACCTGCAAACAGACTGAGATTCCCCAGGCAGCCGCCTGGACTTCGTATGGGTAATGAGGGCTCACGCTTCCAATGAGCATGGGGCCATATGCAAGATTGATGCACAGGAGAATCGGCAACATGAACTTCAGAACTTTGGGGTAAAGGGCAACATCAGGAAAATGGCAAAACCCCACAGGTGCTGCCATCTCAGCAGAAGACAGGTGACAAACACCAGCACTGACAAACTTGCCCCCAGGACAACCCAGTTCACCTGGGCAACAGCTGGGGATCATCGCCCCACCTCCCAGTTTTGAACCAGTGGCCCATGTGTTGTGTATGATTGCTCAGAAGAACTCCACTGTACCAATCCAGAACATGTGCAAGACCCAGCAAGCCAAGGAAATGGCTCTGTATCAAAAGTGAAGATTCCCATGGGTGGCGGTTGCTGACAGGTCAAAACAGACCCTGGACTCAGGCAGCATGAACAAAGCACTCTGCTGATTCTTTCCAGCCCCTTCTTTAAAACTATGATAGTTACTGTATTAGGCTATGTGCTAAGCCAAAAGAAGGACACCACTCATCCCTGGGCCTGGCGAATGGTCTGCTATGGTCCCTGTCATTCTGGCTCTTGTTTTATCCCCTTGCTCTCAGACTGGTCTGCAGGACAGCATGCAGTTAGTTCTCCAAACTGCTGTTACCCTTGGAAGTGAGCTGAGGTGGCTCTGAGGACATGTCAAGCTCTGAAACGGGCTGTGGAGATGGAGAAGAACTAGGACTGGAAGCAGCGGCTGAGGCTGGAGGGCTTACCAACTTCTCTAAAAGAAGAGAAAGGAGAAAAGAGCAAAGAGAAAGCACACAAATAAGTCAGAACATACTTGTCTTCGGTCTAGAAAGCTTGGAAAGAGCCAAGCAATAACCATATTTTAGGGACACCGAGCAACGCTAAGAAGCCACCCATCACACCAGGAACAGCAACCAAGGCAAACAAGTGACCCGCAGAACTGGTTCAGGGCCTAATTCACGTTCCATGCCTCAGCTGCATCATGCTGGAGTCCAAGCAAGGGTGGGCGGACCACTTGCCAATTCTTAAGTTCTGAAAAGAGCTGCATGGCTATGTTAAGGCCAAGGCCAAACTCACTCTCACTACGGACAGGAGACTCTTACTCTGGGACAGTCAACCTTGGTTGAAAATGTTTTTGATTAAGTTTTGCCAGTAGACTAATCAAAAAGCTAGATTATTATGTGTACAGGCTTACAGATGTGCAAACAGCTGGAACTCATCTTTAAGTACATATATTAATGTTTCTTCTTCAAGGCAAGTATACCAGGAATTCCATTCCAACCCAGGCTGACATTTCAAATGAAAATTTTTTTCCCCCAGTACCAGGGATCGAACTCAGGTCCTTGCCCTTATGAGGGAGGCAGGCATGGTGCCACTGAGCTAAAGCCCTGGCCCCTCAAATGAATTTTGATCTGGATCATCTGGTGCAAACTCAGGCTGATGCCTCTTACTCTCAGCTAACAGTTACTAAACACACTAAGCAGTGGAAGCTGTGATGGGTAATTTATCAAACATGCAGTACAGCAGAGTCCAGGAGCTCTGGCAATGAGAACATATCCCCACCCTCAGGGTCTATCCCTCCACTTCTTGAAAGCATAGTTGTGTAGATAGAAACCAGTTACTCACCTAGACCTAAGGAAGATGCATACTGCTGGCTGAGCAGGGAGCTGGCTGCCAGCTGGCCATAGGGCGGCATTCCTCTGAAGGGGCTATAAGGCACATGTGGCTGGAAGGGCGAGGCAGAGGCAGAGCCCAAGGAAGACTGAACAATGAGACACATGGGTGAGAACAGTACGAGGCCATCCTGTCACCCTCCAAGTCTGCAAATAGGGCATTTGCTCAGACAGGAAGCTGGTCCCCATTCTGTCAGCCTGTATTCTCATATACTGAGTAGTCCTGGGGAAATTTCCAGTATGGTCAAAACTGTCTTTTCCTCAACATTTTATCCCCAACTGCACCTATTCATGTAATCCTAATGTGAATTTCTCCTAATACGAAATAGCTCCCCTCTGCCATCAATAGCGTCAGCCTCAATTTGAAACACGTCCCCTCCAAAGGAATAGCCAGGGAACCACTTATGCATCCCCCATCATTCAACTTCTCTATGGTCACCAAGCCTTCAAGAGCACTGCTGTTCTTTAGGAACTGATCTTTTCCTACGCTCTTCACCTGGCTACTTCCTCTTTGCTCCTCAGCTAGTTTCTTCTTCTGAAGCCTCCTAGGGACCCTGATCCAAGTTTTCTTTAGTTTGGCCTGGACTCCTCCTGAAGCCTACCCTGTCTGCTCCTACCTTCCTTGTGTAGCCCCATCTCAGAATCTGGTGTAATCTGAACCTCAGAGGAGCTGTTAAAATTTAAATTCACAAGTGACGAACGTATAAATATGGGCCTACTGGCAATCCAGGTCTATAACCCAGCAGGCCTGCATGTGTCTTATTAAGACCTGCAAATTTTTAAAAAAATTTAAAAAAATTTAAAAAAAGACTTCCAAATTTAGTGTCCTAGCACTAGAATTTAACAAGTGGACACTGTTGGAACAGCAAATCCTTCTATCTCTGCATTTTGTACCACTCAGGGTTGGACTTCTCCAAATACTATACCCTATGTACCCTAGGTCCAGACTAGACTGGAAGTAGCACCCTTTCACACCACACTCACCCACACAATGGTTATGCCATGTTAAACACACTCTCTCCTCTATGCTGCATGAATTACCTTCCACAGAAACATCAATGGACTGGAGGAAAACTTGACCACTTTTCACTAAAGGGTTTTTCCTTAGGTGGAACACCCTAGCCAAACAGGTGACAAGTTCGACATGGAAACCAGCCTCTCTTAGAAACAAAGCCCATGTGGCCAGGAGCAGTAGTGCACGCTTGTAATCCCAGCACTAGAAGCTAAGGCAAGAGCATTGCCACAAGTTTGAGGCCAGCGTGGACTACATGGCAAGACCCTGTCTCCAAAAAAAAGAAAAACAAAAAAGAAACAATGCCCATGCAGAACGTCAATATACTTACCTGAACGATAGCAGGATCCTGAGGGAGTGTGTGCTGAGCTTTCGGAGGTTCACATACAGTAATATCTTTAATATCACTTCCCCGAAAAATGATGTACTCATAAATTTCCTCTCTTGGGGGAGCAGGCCTATCTGTGGGACGGTCTTCAGTACCAAAGGACCTCACTTAGGGGTTGGGAAAAAGAATGATTAAGTTGTTGTCCCATGCAAGGCCATGCCATCAATCCTCTGATGCTACAGTTCCTGATTCTTCCAGAAGACAGGGATTCCTGGGCACGGTCCCCAACTCAGCACCCAAGTTTAACTCAAAAGGTGCTTACTCCCCCACTTCTCAGTGGACAAAATCCCCAAGGGATCAGTTGCTGACGCTCCAGAGACTGTAGGTCACAAAAATGACAGGGAAAATTTCATGGACTGCAAAGTCTCACTAAGCTCCACAACCTCCAGGGCGAAACACCAAGGTGTAGGGCACTCAGTAAACAAGGCTTACTTCGGAAAAATCTCTGTTCACATCTGACTTTGCACATGAAACAATCAGCAGTTTAGGGCCTGAAGCCACACTGTATCCTGTGGCTAAAGAGGCAGGTTTCTTAGGGGAAAAACCAGCCAGTTTTGTGTTACCCTCACCCTTCTGCACGCAACCAGCCGTGGAAAGTTGTCACGATAAAAACAGGGGTCTCAGAACTTTGCTTCCCCAAACCAGCCTGTGGTTGATAAGGAAATCCTGTCTCAGGGACCTCCTTAGGATATGAATATCCAACCTGCAGGGCCTAGAAAGCCCTATCACACATCTCTCCTTCGTAGGGCTGCAGGGCTCTAAGTAATAGAAACACAACTCCTACGGAGAACCCAGGCCTCTGGACCTCACTTCCGTCAACGGAATCTCATGTCAAAAGTAGTATACTGCAGTAACAAGAGTTCAAAAACGCTGAACTACCTCCTGCAGCACTACAGTCTGTCCGCTCTAGTCTGCTGCTCATGAAGCTTCAAAAGGAGCTATTCCGATGGCTCGGGATGAATGAGCCGCGGAGCTAGCTAGCTCTGATCTATGGGAGTTTAAGACATGAAGAGCCTGCGAGGCCCTAGCACACACACAGGGCTGCTGCAGCGAACCGGCTGCCCTCGCGCTTTCCCCATCTTCAAGCGAAGACAAAGGGGGTCTGGGCCCTGCGCTGCCTGCACAAGCTCACTGCTTCTGGACTTCTCCAGTCGCAAACAGATCCCTTGAAATCGGTCAGTGCTCACTGGCGTCTGTCACAAAAAGGCAGGGCAGGTGGGCCGTCAAGACTAGACAGTTCGGATCAGGGCATAACCGTCTGTTTTCCAAGCCACATTCTACTTAGGCAAGAGGCTCCGCCAGACGCGGTGGGCCCCAGCTGCCTAATGGGTTCCAGGAGGACGCGCAGGATTTCCAGTTCCCTGCCCCGCCCCCACCCCGCCTTCGGGGAGGCCCGGGGGACTCCGCTCTGGCCCCAGGAGGACACCGCCCGCAGGTGGAGGAACCGCGGCTCTCCGGGCAGCCCCGCCGCCAGCACCCGCAGGGGGTGCGGGCTGCGCTGCGAAGGAAGAGGACGGCATGACGGGGACGGGACAGCCCCTCCGCGAGCCCCGGGTGGGCGGGCGCCCGCGCGCTGAGACGCCGCCTCCGCCGCCGAAGCCGGGCCGACCTTCTGCGGGCAGGGTCACAGGGCCCGGGTGGGGGGGGGATGCGCGTCGCGGAGCGGGGCGGGGGTTCCGGGCTGGGGCCGCGGCTCCGTCCGCAGTGGCACGGGTGGGAGCGGGGTCCTAGGAGCCGGGAGGGGCGTCCCGGGGTGGGGGCGGGGACGGCGCGAGACCGCCGCCGGCGGTTGGGCGCGCGGCGGCGGCAGCAGGTCGCTACCTTTGGCGAGAGCCACGGTGGAGTTGTCGGTGTCGATGGTGTAGAGAATGCCCTCGTAGCGAATCTGTGCCTTGGAAATGAGGCTGATCTTGCTGCCCAGATACGGGGTACCCGAGGAGCCGCTCATGGCGGCAGCCGGGGCGCGCCGGGCCGGGGGACGAGCGCCGGGCCCCGCCCGCTCCGCCACCGCGGCTGCCGGGCCACCCGCTCCTGCACCGCTCCGCGCCGCCGGGCGCCTCCCGACGCACCTAAGGGGCCTTCCGGTCGCGAGCGAGGGAGTGCAGCGGGGCGCGCCGCCGGGCTGAGGGAATCGGGGAGGTGCAGCGCGGCAGCCACATCCGGGGCCTAAGGCCGCCACGCGCCGCCCCCGCACGCTCGCTGCCCATTGGCTCACAGCACCCGCCGCCCTTTAAATATGGCCGCGCCGCCGGCAAGGGGCGGGGGCGGACTCGCACGCCACGCCTGCGCAGCACGGTGTCGCCGGCCGGGGGCGGGCCTGTGTCGGTCTCCTTCCGCACCGGCCTCCGGCGCACCCCGAGAGCGGCTGGGTGCGAAAGACTGAACAGATGGGCGGAGCGCGCGTGCCCAGGGAGGGGGGGCGCTGTTTGCATACTCGTGGGCCGGGGCAGGGTCTGGAGGAGCGCCAGTCCCGGCTCTCTGCGCGTGCTGGTCCTGCCCGGGCCGGGCTCGGGAAGATGCGGAGCTGTGACGCCCTCGGCTTCCCCTCATGCGGAGGCGGGGCGCGGAGGGGACCCGCAGTTCCCCGCAGCCCGGGGCTGAGGCGGAGGAGAGGACGGGCCGCTGGGTCAGCAGCGCTTCCAGGAAGTGGAAGGCTCCAGGCCCCGCAAGGGTTCGTCCCTCCTCCCGTCCGCGGGGCACGCCTGGTGCCCTTACCTAAGCTCTGGCTCGCTGTCCAGGCCCCGTGGGCCGGGCCGCCTGCCCGCCTGGGCTCTTCCCAGGCTGCAGCCTAGAGCCCTTCTGCCCCCACAGCCGTGGATAAAGAGCCCCCATCCTCCTCTGTTCCTCCCTTATGTCGCACACGGCAGGATTAGTAATTACACACGTATATGTTTTTCTCTTTACCGTGAACCTTACCAGATCGAAGTCAAATATCAGGTCCTAGGAAAAATTTAGTGATAGTTACCAGCATTTTATAAAAATGAAATGGAATGAGAAAATAACTGAGCATCCTATATAATGAAAATACGTGCAGTTTTGCAAAGCCTTTCACTTATATTAAGTGTGGACTTGGTCCTGACGTTTTTTTGTTTTGGGGTTGGTTTTTTTTTGCGTTTCTTAATGTGCTGAGAACAACTTGCCCCTATGCCAGATGGGCGCTGTGACTCTGGTTTACTAAGCAGGAAACTGCCCCAGGACACAGGTAAGTTGTAGGTGGGCTTGAGGGTCCTCTGGACCCAGACAGCACACCCTGCACTGCCTCTTGCCCTCTGTGAAATCCAGCCACTCCCACCACAGCCCAGCAACATCCAGCTCCAGAACCGTAAAAGGACCATGGAGGAAGCAGGGGGAAAGGTCAGAGTCTTCCAGTGTAATCTAATGATTGACCTCTGTGTACCAAAATTGCTTCCTGGCTTCTGGAAAATTGTGCTTAGGAGAACGGAGACAGCTAAGCACAGACCTACTCCACCCCTGGGGAAGAGAGGTCTGGGGCATCTTGGCTCTCAGCTTCTACCTTAGGGGAGCACAACCTGGATAGGCCCTCGAGTTACGGTCACACCTGGCAAGCACCTCAGCAGCCTCCTGATGACCTACAGTGGGGCTGAGCATCTTTCCTCCCACTTTCCAAATTAGGATTCTAAGGTCCTACATATACTTTCTCCCTCATTCTCCTGGTTTCTGAGGCAGGGGTCTGTGTTGAGGGTGAAGATGCTTTCTTCACTGATGAGCTGATTCTGCATTGGAGAAATGAGCTAGACCCTGAGTTCCAGGTCCTGAGGCAGGAGATGCAGCAACTAGAGACCTCCAAATAACCACCAGGCTTCTGGGTGTGCAGCTGGGCAGTTCCCTGAGGCTAATAGCCAAGCTGCAGATGCAGGCTAGGGGCTAAAAATACACACAGTGTCCAGGTCCAGGAATGCTGGCCCTGCCTTCATTCCTGGTATCCTGCCCAGCACCTGCCTGAGAAGGTGAGCAGTTGTGCTGGACAGAAACCTGACCCAGGAGTCCATGGGTGTGGTCTGCTTCCAGGCTGGGGCACTGGTCTAGTGTAGAACTTCCACAGTGTCGGCTCTTCCTGTGTGTGCAGGTCTGAAGAGCCCGCCCACTCAGTGATCATGATCAGTGAGCCAAGGGATGTAGAGAGATGATCCCAGAGTCCCTGCCTCACTTTCTCCATTTGCCAGATGGAGATTACAGCTGTCCTGCCCATCTCACTGGTGTACTCCGGGTCACCTGACCAGAAGATAGTGCCTGTGAATGGTTTCAAGGCTCACAGAGACTAAAGAGGCAGCTTCAGAGGTGTGTGGTAACCATGAGCTGATTATTAAGGCATCTAATGTGTGTATGGAGGAGAGTGAAGCAGTTCCTAACAAGGACAGGTGGAGACATGGAGATGAGCTCCCTGTCCCTTGCTCTGTCTCAGTCCAGCTGGGGTCACGCTGGCCAGTGTCCTGCAGCAGGTGAGGGTCGCTGCCATATAAAGCTATTTTGTGAGTCAAATGTACATCTGAGATTCGGCCAGCATACTACTGATCTGTGGGAGGGACACAAAGCAGGAGTAGATTCAGAGAAACATGGATAGGTTCATAGTCTACAGGTAAAGTAAAAATTAAGTTGGTAGTCTGAAGTGTAGGAACCTGCCAGGGAAAGAGAACCTAGCCTACCCCCTCTTCCCGAGCAGAATCGGGTACAGAAAAGGGGCTGAGGAAGGCCTGGAGATGATCACCCCTCTAGGAAAGAGCCCTGCCCACCGCAACCAGCCAGGAGAAAGCGAGGGAGGCACAAGTAGGCTGGTGGGGTCATCACTGGCTTTGTAGTAGGCAGAGGAAGAGGCTGGAGGCCCAAGGGCTGTACCCAGGCCACAGTGACCCATATGCAGCTGGACAGAGAGGAGAAGGGAGGACAGAGCTGGTCTTGTACAACTGAAAGTCCTCACTGAGGCCACACCTGTTCTCTGCATCCTGCTGAGATCCATTTCCTCCTGCACAAGGCTCTCCGTGGCTGTTCCCAGGTGTGAGCAGCACTGGGTTGAAGTTCAGGTGTCCTCAGACCTCCCCTTCTCTCCTTCCTCTCCCAGCTTCCTGTTCCTCCTCTGTCTCTCTGGCTCCTTTTCCCTGCCTTCTTTTCTTTCCTCATCCCCCTCCTTCCCTACCTCCTCTCTGGGTCTGCTCCCCTCTTTCCTTCTCTTCCTGTCTCTCCTGGGCCTGCTGGTCAGAGCCGATGGGAATGTGGGCAGACCCAGACCGTGGACCCTTAAATGTTAGACCTAGTGGAGACAGCCTTGGAGCTGCCACCTCAGGAATACAGAGGTTAAATGGTTGGAACATCATGGGAGCAGAAATGGGCCACAGCTAGAGCCTGGAGACCCAGCAGGGTAACACAGCCAGAGTGATGGGGTGGCTCTGATGGAAGTCTGCTGGCCGCTGATCCTTCATTCTTAGCCCCTGGTCTTCTGCATTCAGTCCTGGGGAACAGAGACCAGGTGTGATTTCTGCACTTGAGGAGCTCAGGCTCTGCAGATGCCCAAAGGGAGGTTGACCCAAGGCTGGAGCAGTGCGGAAGGAAGCAATAACCTCCAAGGGTATCTCCTTTGGCATTTCATTTTGTCTTGACTCCATGCAAGGAGGCAGGATGTGCCCTAGGGAGTGGCCGTGGCAATCAACCTACCTTAGGAGCACCCCATCCAGGTGGGACACGTCTCTGCACATGCGTGGTGGTGCATGGAGACGTGGGGCAGAGCTACTGCCCCAAAAAGGAGGTCATGTAAATGGATAGTTCAGGCCTCCCACTGCCTGACCTCACCCCTGCAGCACTCTGAGCTACTGGAGGACCCTGTGCCGGTTCTAAGGCTGGCATGCTGTGGATGGGAAACTGCCAGAGGCATGGCTATTTTTACTCTTGTGCAGGTCCAACTGGTTAGCACCATAATCCTTCTGTCTCTGAGAGCAAAGGCTGGAATAAGGCTCCAGGCGGCGAGGATGCTTCAGGAGCCAAGGACACCCACTCGGGCCCGCAGAAGCCAACACTGGCTGTGGCAATGCCCCAACAGGGCGGGGTGGGGTGCTGCAGTGGGAGGGCCAGAGTGAGGCAGGTGGACACGAAGGCTGGACCATGGGGCGGGGATTTAGCTCAGTGGTTACACTACCTACCTTGCTAGCGCAAGGACCCGAGTTCAATCCCCGGTACCAAAAAAAAAAAAAAAATGAAGGCTGGACCAGAGGAAGACAGTTTCCCATCCCAGGGCTTCTTCGTGCTGTCTCAGCAGGTACCAGACTGGGGAGGCTGGCATCTCAGACACATTCCCAGTGCCTTGTTTTGTTAGGCAGTTGCTGGCATATTTGTGATTTCCAAGCACCAACATATGAAACCCCACTTGCCTTGGGAGTTCTGCTGGCTCGGATTCCTTCCTTTCCTTCCCTTTCCTCCCTCTCTTCCCCCTTCCCCCTCCTCCTCTTCCTCTTTTGCCTTCTTCTCCTCCTGAACCTGGGCCTTTATACTGAGCTTGGCCCGGGGATGTAGTTCAGTGGTTCCGCCACCTGCCTCACAAGCACAAGGTCCCGAGTTCCATCCCCGGTACCGAAAACAAACAAACAAAAATCAGGCCATCTTTATACTGAGCTACATCCCCAGTTCTTTTTATTATAAGTTCTTACTAAATCACTAAGTTCCTCAGGCTGGGTTTGAACTTGTGACCCTCCTGCCTCAGTCTTCCAGAGTGCTGGGATCAGAGCATTCTTTCAGATGGCACTCACCAGCATCAGGGAGCCTCAGGGCCAGCAAGCTTGAGTCTGATCGCTTTGCCTGCTGGGTTGGACCAGAGCTCATTCTTTATTTCTGTGTAGCTTTATTGAGGCATTACTGTTATGCTACAGTATTCACCCATTTAAAGTTGAGTGATGTTCAGTACAATCACAGAACTGTTCAACCATCACAACTAATTCCAAAACATTTCATCACCCCCCGCCTAGAAACCCCCACACCCATTAGCAATCCCCCCCCCCCAGTACTAA